TATACCTCAGCAAGGACCCCTGAAATCCCATCAAGGTCAAGGGTGCCGGCACCCCTGACCGCCTCCCTTTCAGATGGAGGAACTACTTTGATCATGGACTTGGCTACCTCAACCAAGTCAAGCCCCTGAGGGCCGGCTGCATCAAGCGTAAAAAAAAGCAAGTTAGACCTAGTCAAGAAGGAAGCAAGTGTGAGTTTTTACAAGTGATTGTCCATACTTCTAGGCGGCCCCGCCGGGGTTTTAGAAGAAGTGGCCGGCTGCTTCTCAGCCGCCACTGTTTTCCTGGAAGACCCAGGAGAGCTTGCAACAGTCGTCCTCCGGGCCTTGGGGTCCGGCTGTTGCGAGGAAGAAGCTCTTGGAGTGCCAGACTGAAAACAAAAAGAGTTAGTATATGCATAAGACAACTCCTAAAAGAGGAAGAGTTTTCGAAGCCTACCAAGGGTGCCCCCTTGTTGGGGGAGTCGGCACAAGACTGTTGCATGAGAGAGGCCCGCAACATGGCCGCCGCAGTCTTGGATGCTGTTATTTTACTCATGGCGTCAGCTGCAAAAAATAAACAGCAAAGTTAGTAAAGATCCCAAGTAAACAAGGCGTGAAAAAAACAGAGTATTTGTCAGGCCGGCTACCTCTAGAGCACCGACTGCTGAGGCCACAGGCGGCCAAAAAGTACTCGTCATAGAGCCACTTGAAGCTCGGGACGCAGTTTAGGGGTACTTGCTCTCGTACCCCTGAAGTAGAGTTCACCCTAGTCTCTACTTTGAAGAGTCCTTTGTCTAGGATCTCTCTTTTAGCCTTTGGGGGAACATGCGGCATGCTGCGGCCGCCTGCGAGAAGAGGCGGATCCCTATTCCACTTGTTAAAACGTTGGTTCAGCTCCGTGTCTAAACCCTCAATGATAAGGAAGGTGTTCCGCCAATCCTTCCATTTGTTCGCCTTACCTCTCGTCATGAGGTAACCCCTATGGCTTGTTAATTGATACCAGCCGGTACCTCCCGACTTAGGGGTCCGGCTGAGATAGTTCATGTGGGCGAAAGCCTCAAAGCTTGGCTCCACCCCGTACATTTCGCACCCGGCCACATAGCCGAGTACGTTTACCCAAGAGTTGGGGGCTAACTGCCATAACCCCAAATCATACCCATCTAAAATCCGCTGAACAGCCGGATGTAATGGGAAGCGCAGTCCAGCTTTGATGGCCGCCACATAGCAGCCAAAGCAGCCGTCGTCATAGCTGGTACCAGCCGGCCAGACGACAGTGTCTTCTGGATCCGGCACGAACAGTAAAAATTCCGGGCCCATTCTGTGGTTAGCAATAAAGCTCTCCACTTTGTCTTGCATGGTTGCGATCCGGCCCCGGGGTACCATGCAGTAGTAGGGGGCGTTTTCCTCTCTGTAAGAGGCGGACGGCTCCGCCCAATTGTCCCCCTTCTCAACTGCATGAGAAAGTCTCGCCTCTTGTAGGCGGCTATGTCTTTCTTCTGAGCCTGGAGAACTGTGGCCAGAAGAGCTGGACTCGGACTCGTCCTCTGACGAGTCCGAAGAGGACGACTCCTCCCCTCTCCCAGAGGGGCCCGCCTCCTCTCCCTTAGAAGGAGCAGGAGGAAAATTAGACATATCAACGGTAAGATGGGACGGGACCACCTTGGCCCCTCTCTTAGAACTGTCGGCTTGGCAGCCGCCTCGTTTCAATTCTACATCTGGCGCCTGGTCAGATGTTTCACTAATGAGCACCCTTTGGGAGGAGCCGTCTGAGTTTGATATCATAGCAGTCTTTTTTGTTCTGGCCATCACGTTCTGCATAGACACAGATACAGTCGGACTTTGTATAAAGGGCAAAGATGGGTCCAGAAAAGGGCAGGCGGCACTCCTAGTCCTAGATTCAGCCGTCCTCGGTGACCGGCTGATCACTAACTTAGGTCGTGTCGTGTGCTTCCGTGGTGCCATTTCAAAAAATAAAAAGAAAAATAAGAGTAAGAGAACTGAGTTACCTGAACGAGTGACGGTTAATGAAGTTTTGGAAATCCGGTGCAGTCGGCTTGTCAGAACAGGCGGTAGGCAGAAAAGGTCCGAAATGTCATAGCAAGTTCAGGGGTCCGAGTGTTCTCGCAAAGTTCTCAAATGTGAAAATGACCGAAGTCAGCACTTCCTTATATAGGCAAAGTGAGAAGGCGAAGGGTCGCTTCCAAATTCAAAATTTGGGCGGGAAAATCTCTCGGCCGTTTGCAAGGTGACACCTGTAGCAGGCCGTCGCCTGTCACCGTGCGACACCTGTCACAGGCGACACGTGACCAGTCACGTGCCACCTGTGAGGGGCAAATGATTAGGGGATTTTTATCCACCAATCACCGTCTGACAAGTGGACCAACCAGGTTCCGCCACGTGTCCTTCACGAAGGCCAATAGGAGCCTGCCACGTGTCAATCACAGATACGTCCTCTACGGACCAATCGAGGCACGCCACGTGTCCACCCATGCCAAATGGGAAAACCGGCCAACAAGGCCCAATCCTGTCTAGAGGCCCGGTCAGCCCTAGGTTTACCCTAAACCTAGAGAGTGGCACGCTTCTCAAGACTATAAATACTTAATTAATCCTCGTTAATTAAGGAGTGAAGAAAACATCAAGCAATTGAGAGGCAATTGATCAAGCAATTAATCTCACCTGAAGAACAGAGAAGAACAGAAACATTACGGAACACTAATAACCGGCTAATCTCGCTAACAAAGCAGATTACCAACATTAAACACTCTCACCTAGAGAGGTCTTATTACTTTAATTTCCGTATTAATTACTCCTTAATCAGGTACTAACTTGACCGTTGGAGGCGGAGCTCTCAGGAGTCTCCGTTATTTTGCAGGTACAGGCGTCCGGTTCCAGTCTCGGAATTGTAACTCTCCCGCAGGACATCAGAAAACCCCGAAACACAACCCAACAACTAACACAACATCAATACATGCAGCCACACTTTAAATGTTATAGACTAATCCCAGTTTATCACATCAGCACAATACAAAAAAAATTCCAAATAAAATTAACTTTACTTCCAGCCAACAACCCAAAAACAGTACAGAAGGTTGTCATGTTTGCGAGTCGATTACATTTATTTTCTATGTGAAAGAAAAATGAGGTCCGGAAATTTCATCAAATGCAGCCAGCGAGTTTACTATTATTGAAGCAACCTTAAAAAAACAGCTCATCTAACTTACATGAAAGTAATAAATTGATAACTTGGTTCCACATACGGTACTAAACTACCAACTAAGACTTCAATCTAAAAACTGTATATGGGAATTGGTCTGATAATTAATGACCTTTCAATACCTATTGCAAAATGTGAACAAATATATGTAATCCCTCACTATATATCACAGTGCAGACCTAACTTTACTACTCCTACTCTAAAAGTGGTCAAAATGATCTTCTTAACTTAATTGCCAAAGAAGAATTACAAAAAAGCAACGACCCTTGGGTAGTTTACTCTACAGGAAACCTTTACCTAATTCCATGTAACACAACTAAATAATACACAATCACATAAATCAAAGTATCTATCCTGACAAAAGTTTGACTCTTGACAACAAACAGAAACAATACAATATCATAATCCTTCAGGGATCTTATAGCCAATCCTCATAGCGATCCATTCAATATACTAATGCATGAATGCTCGATTGGGCTTTTTTTGCCATATGTTTTCCTAGGAACAAGTGAGCAAAGGATTCGTACTATGCTGTTTATGTAAAAACTCTACAAAGCTATTTGAAACCACAAATAAGCCAAAAATAATGAGGTGAGGATTTGTAGTTTTATACCCTATAAAGCATGAATCAAAGTTATTCTCTTAGGGCAACTTTGACCAAATTGCAAGACTTACATCATAGAGATACTAAGTAGGAAGTACATACAGATATGCAATCTTTTACAAAATTAGCAAGGAATAGAAATCATACACACGTGCAAACAAAAGGATGAAGAGCTTACATAGGTGCTATCTTGCATCCTGATTTATAAAAATATTGACATCGATTTCGAAGATCAACAGATCCGGTATCAGCCTGAATTTCCTTCCTTATCCTAAAATAAGAATGAAACAGATAACAAGATTCTAAATTAGATTGATTTGCAAGCACCAGAATAGTACAATCTACAGGTAAGTCATGCAGAATTTATATACCAAGCACTAGCTAACTCGATAAAGCAATAACACAAAATGTCAATAGATGATGAGACACAATGCAGCACTTATTAACTCAATAATGTAATAATGCAAACTTCATTTACATTTGATTGAAGCAGGGTGGAATGTTCATAACCACTGCTTGTCTTGAATGTAGCTCATGAGCAAGCCAGAAAGGCAATTACACCCTTTGTCCCTGTTCAATCTGAAAATATATCGTGGGTAAACAGTAAAAAAGGAACATAATTTAATCTTAATTTAGACCATCAAAAAACTTACATTGTAACCTAAAATGAGAAAGAAATACCTTGGAGAATTGATCTCAATTATCAGCTTATGAAATTGATTATAAGGTCTCATAGACCACCAACCTTTATCGACAAATCTAAGTCATGAGATCGGGCACTACAGTTTTGAGAATCTACAGAATGTTGACAAAAAAGAAAAATCAAACCCATTTGCATGTACCCGGTGTACAGTATTTTTACTGTACATCGGGTTTTCACACGTGCTTTTTTTAAATAAAAAAAATTCGCAGAATTTCAAATACCTAAAAATAAAAAAAACGCAGAACAACAATGGAGGAGAGAGAAAGTGAGAAAACGCAGCTATCAATCATCCATTGAGGAGAGGGAAAGTGAGAAATCACAAAAATTGCAGAAAACGAACATCAATCGAGGAGATAAAAGGTTAGAAAACGCAAAAATTGCAGAAATCAATCATCAATCGAGGAGAAAAAAGGTGAGAAAACACACAAATAGAAGAATTCGATCATCAATTAAGGACAAAGAAAGTGAGAAAACTTACAAATTGCAGAATTCGATCATCAATGGAGAATTCGACTTTCGATACAACAAATTGCAGCAATCTCATTCACGAATTGCTACAAAAACAGAGGCAAATTGAGACTGAATTTGAAATCGATTTAAATCGATCGATTATAGAAGAAGAAGAAACTAATTGTTTTGGAGATGAATTCGTACCAATATTCAACAATCCAGACAATGCAGATGAAGCAATCGATAATGCAGATGAAGCAATTGAGAATGCAGAAGACCCAATTCATAATGCAGAAAATCAAGTGGTTCCTGATAAATCAATTGATTCAAATTCAGAACAAACAACCAAATCAGATGCAACTAAAGGTAATTTCTATGAATTTTTGAGATTGTATGCAGAAAGTAACCCTTTGCATACATAATTGTTACCCTTTTCATGCATAAACGTGACCATACTTATGTTTAAATGTTACCCTCAGATTGAATGCAGAACTTTTTAGATTGCATGCAAAAAGTAACCCTTTGAATGCCTAAATGTTACCCTTTTCATGCTTAAAAGTGACCCTATTTATGCTCAAATGTTACACTCAGATTGTATGCTGAAAATTCAGATTGTATGCAAAAAGTAACCCTTTGAATGCCTAAATGTTACCTTTTTCATGCATAAAAGTTATCCTATTTATGCTCAAATGTTACACTCAGATTGTATGCTGAAAATTCAGATTGTATGCAAAAAGTAACCCTTTCAATGCCTAAATGTTACCTTTTTCATGCATAAAAGTTACCGTATTTTCAAACGAATGTTACCCTTTTTTTTATGCTGTCTGTGGTTATTATCTGATTTGTTTGTATTAAATAACAGATACAAATCCAATTGATGCTTATGGTTTAGATCTTAGAGGATCATTTGTTGGTGTGGTAAGAGAAACTTTTGTAGAAATTTTGGAATTGTATGAAAAACATGCTGCTATACTGGGGTTTTCAATAAGAAAACATACAACTAGATTCAAACAACACACAAAAATAGTAACTGAGAAAAACTATGTGTGTTCTGCTGAGGGAAAGAGACATTCAGGTCAGAAGAAAACAAAGTTAGTTGAAATGGTTGATGAAGAGGATGTAAATGTAAAAACAAGAAAGCCAAGACAAGTATCCATTACAAGATCAAATTGCAAGGCATGCATAAGAGCAAAAGTGAATAAAGAAGGACAGTTTGAGGTGGTGGCTCATGTTATTGAGCATAACCACGAGCTAACAAAGCCACAGTGGCATTATTTGCATCGTTCTGAAAGAAAAATGACAGAGGAAAAAGTTGTAACAATCAAAACAATGAAATCTTCAGGTCTAACTACAATGGACACTTACAATTACATGGCTACAGAGGCTGGAGGAGAACAGAATATAGGCCATAGTGTTGTAGATCACCTGAATTTCTGCTCAAGGTTAAGAATGGAACAAATTGAGGCTGGAGATGCTCAAACTTTAGTGAATATTTTAAGTCAGGAACAATCAGAGGATCCAAACTTCTTTTTTAGAGTGAAGTTTGACAAGGAAGGAAGAATTTGCAATATCTTTTGGAGAGATTCAATGATGCTAGAAGACTATAGGATATATGGAGATGTTCTTGTCTTTGATACAACATACAGAACCAACATATATAATCTTATATGTGCTCCATTTGTTGGCATAAATAACCACTGGCATAATTGTATGTTTGCTTGTGCTTTTATTGGGGATGAAACGACAGATTCATTTGTGTGGTTACTACAAACCTTCTTCAAAGCTATGGAGGATAGAAAACCAACTTCAATATTCACTGACCAGGACCAAGCAATGGAAAATGCTATACTGGAGGTAAAATATTTATATTGACATCTTACAGATTTGAGCTATGACAATAAAGTTTTCCTTTTTCACATAAAGTTACCCTTTTAGCTGCATAAAGTTACCCTTTTTAGTGCATAAAGTAACCCTTTTAACAGCATAAAGGGACCCCTTTATTTTCAATGCAGGTGATTCCTAATACAAGACATAGACTTTGTATATGGCATTTGGAGCAAAATGCCATAACCAGATTTGGAGCTCTTAAAAAAGACAAAGAATTCAAATTTGCATTCAACCAGTGCTTAAAGATGTGTGTGACAGAACAAGAATTCGAAGCAAAGTGGCAAGCAATGTTGCAAAAATATTAGTTGACAGAACACTTTTGGTACAAAAGAGTGTATGAGTTGAAACACAAATGGTGTCCTGCCCTTTGTAGAGATTTCTTTTCAACAGGGATCTTATCGTCACAAAGGAGTGAAAGCACTAATCATGCCATAGGATTCAGAGCAAGTAAAGCAACTACTTTGACAGAATTTTATACCATATTTAAGAAGACAACTAATCGTTGGAGAAGCATAGAGAAATATGATGAGTTTACCTGTATCAAGTCAATAGCATTCACTTCATTGCCTCTATCTGGAATGCTAAAGCATGCTGCACAGGTAAAAAGTTAACTGTCAAGTACATAAATTACACCTAATATATGGCAATTTAAATGAAGCTACATGATTTTGATGTACAGGTTTTCACTTTATCACTCTTTAGAAATTTTGAAGAGGAGTTTGGATACTCTATGGCAACAACTGTTCAGATGTTAGGCAGTAATGAAGAATGCCTACTTTATCAAGTAACACTAGAAGACAAGCCATGGTCTGCACATCAAGTAAACTATATACAAGAGAGCCAAACTGTATGGTGTACTTGCAAAAACTTTGAAGCATCTGGATGGTTATGTTATCATTGCATCAGAATTCTACATTTGCATTCAGTAACAAGAATACCAGACAAGTATGTTTCAAAAAGATGGACTAAGTTTGCAAAAACAGAGGCATGGGATAGGTTGAAGAATCAGGATCCTAAACAGCAATATATTCCATGGAGGCAAACAATGATGAGGAAATACTACAATCTAATCTTAAAAAGTCAAGAAAATGAAGAGACAAGAGCATTTATGGAAGAAAGCTTCAGAAACAGTCTTAAAATGGTGGAAGACTTACTTGCTAGTGCTGCTCAGAAGAAAGTGCAGAAGCTGCTTCTAACATTCCTGATGTGGCAGACAACACTCAAAGCAATACTAACGCTTCTTCAACATCGAGTACAAGCACATGTGTACCAATAATTCTTGATCCTAAAAAGGCTGTAACAAAAGGAAGAAGCAAGAGAGCAAAAGGAGGACTTGAAAAAAGCAAGAGAAAAAGAAAACCAGCACTGCCACCTCCAAATTCAGAATTTGGATCAAAGACACCTAACTTACGACTCTTTTAAGATCTTTTTTAGAACATTTTTTTTTCGAAATTAATATACCTTGTATTGTTAAACTATTTTTCTTTTGTTTTTTTACTCTATGACTAGTTTAATGAAAATGTGATTGACACTTTTATTAGCACATGTTTAATTATTGGAACACATCAACTTATGTTACCCTTTTAACGTATAAAAGTAACCCTTTTCATGCATAAAAGTGACCCTTTTCATGCATAAAAGTTATCCTTTCTATCCACTAAATCAACCTTTTCTTTTGCAATAGTTACCCTTTCTGTTAATAAAAGTTAACCCTTTTATCAATAAAAGTTACCCTTTCCATGCATAAAAGTTACACTATCTACCCACAAAAGTATACCTTATCATGTATAAACTTATTATTTCTACCCACAAAAGTAACCCTTTTTATCCTTTCTATCCACTAAATCAACCTTTTCTTTTCTAATAGTTACCCTTTCTGTTAATAAAAGTTACCTTTTTTATCACTAAAAGTTATCCTTTTCATGCATAAAACCCAGACCCTTTTATTTTACAGATTAAAGTGTCCCTTTTCATGAATAGAAGTGACCCTTTTTCTACATAAAAGTGACCCTTTTCATTGCTAAAATTACCATTTCTAACAATAAAATCTACCTTTTTCTTGCTTAAAAGTTACCCCTTTCTATAAATAAAAGTTACCCTTTTCTGCATAAAAGTTACCCCATAAAAAACATAAAAATAAAACTTTTAATTACTTTATGTATTCACATACATCAGTATTCAAAAAACAACTAAGGACTTTAAACTAAGTTTAATTACATCATTAAACTTAATGTATGCACATACATTAAGTTTTTTCATTGTTAAAAAAAACCCCCTGAACTAATCAGCTAACAACTATCAATTATTTCACCATTTAGAAGGAGTAAACTTTTTTGCCCTTTTTCCTTTGTTCTTTTCCTCTTCTCCCTCTGCCTTTGCTTCTGCTTCTGCTGCCATTTTTCTTTCTTCTGTTTCTCTCTTCTTCTTTGCAGCAATTGCAGCCTTTAATCTTTCTTCAATTCCATTGACATAAGCAGGATATTTCTTCTTCTCATTGAACTTGTGTAATTCTAACAACACATCATTCCTAGATTCATTCAAATCACACAGTACCAGTGTGGTACAGATCTCTCCTTGTAAAAATTTCCTTCCATTAATCTCAAATCAGCAAAAAAAATAAAAATTATCAATATGTAATTAATAAAAGCAATAGAAAGGAAAAAACTACAGAAACTATATAGATAATTACTGTTTTGAGATCATTGAATTTGAACGATTCACCAACAAAATGGAGCATGTGATACATGACAAAGACCCCACAGTCCAAATTGTCAACTTTTTCTTTTCTCCATTCCAACTCAACAACTTCAAAACCATAAGAAGGTAGCTGAGAACTCTTTGGATGATTTCTTTTGCCAAGAAAAGCACCCATTTGAACACACTGACATAAAATATAAAAGTTTAGAATACATTAAAATCAAAAAAGTTAAAATGGAAACAATAAATCAACAGTAACATAACAAAAAAAAACAAACATAAACATACCATCTTTGAACACAATTCTTTTGTATAAACAAGAGCAGAATCAGTCCAGATAATGTTGTCAAGATAATATACCAACTCTTTTGTATGATCAATAACATACAAAATGTAGTGATTCTCAATAAGAACAGGAAAATAGATCTGAAACAGCAAAATTAAAGAGATTTAAACAGAGCATATCATAAAGAGAACTCTTTTAAATTTATTACATTAAGTTTAGAATAAAAATACCAGATCAGCATCCATTATATTACATTCTGGATTCTCATAGCTAACCCAACCTTCCCATATGTCGTGCAAATCCTTAACAGCACTAGATATGTTACCTTTGCCAATATTGTCACAAACATGCAAGAATGAAAACTATTAAAGTATAAGATCTCAATAATATATATATAAAGTAAATGTGTTAAGATATAAAAAAAGGAATGAAATAACTTACACTTTGCCTAACACCGAAGAAGAATTTCCGAGGACCAGTAGCCTGAAAACATGCTTTCTCATTCAAATACAGACAGAAGCAATCAATAACGCACCATTGAATCCTGAGTGGAGCAACAAGGGACACCATGTCTTCTCTTGGAATCAAAAAGTTCATTCCAAAAGTAACAAGGCTCTCACTGAAACAATAAAAAATAAGATCAACATTAAAAAAAAAATATAAAAAAAAAAACAGATAAAAAAATAATTATAATAAAAAAGGACACTTAACTTCTTATCCATTGAAACATCCTTCAGCAAACAATGATCGAGAATTTCCAAATGTAACTGAGGCAAATTCTTGAAAATCCGAGCATTGCTCTTTACAAAAAGAGTTACAAAAGGTGATTAGGGGATTTTTTATCCACCAATCACCGTCTGACAAGTGGACCAACCAGGTTCCGCCACGTGTCCTTCACGTAGGCCAATAGGAGCCTGCCACGTGTCAATCACAGATACGTCCTCTACGGACCAATTGAGACACGCCACGTGTTCACCCATGCCAAATGGGAAAACCGGCCAACAAGGCCCAATCCTGTTTAGAGGCCCGGTCAGCCCTAGGTTTACCCTAAACCTAGAGAGTGGCACGCTTCTCAAGACTATAAATACTTAATTAATCCTCATTAAAGGGGATCAAGCAATTAATCTCACCTGAAGAACGGAACAGAACAGAAACGTTACGGAACACACTAATAACCGGCTGATCTCGCTAACAAAGCAGATTACCAACATTAAACTCTCTCACCTAGAAAGACCTTATTACTTTAATTTCCGCATTAATTACTCCTTAATCAGGTACTAACTTGACCGTTGGAGGCGGAGCTCTCAGGAGTCTCCGTTATTTTGTAGGTACAGGCGTCCGGTTCCAGTCTCGGAATTGTAACTCTCCCGCAGGACATCAGTGAACCCCGAAACATTTGGCGCCGTCTGTGGGGAGAGTACTTCAGAGATGGCATCCAAGTCTGTAGCGACTCCTGAAGAGAGGCGTCCCCTAGACGACCCTCAAGTTCAGTCGGACCATGACACCGAAAGTGAATTTGAAGTTGAAACTCATACAGCTCCAGACGGGACCCTAAGGGCCCGACGTACCCGTCATACCGAAAGGAGGGAACGGGAGCATCTTCAAACAGGAAGCGAGCCAGCAGGCGCACCGCCTGCTCAGCAACAGCCGACTGATGGGTCTGCTCCCATCACAAGGAACGAACTCATGACCTTCATGAGGGACTTCAAGGGAGAGATTCAAGAGTTGATCAACAAGAAGCCGCCTGCTTCAGTCAAGGAGCAGTCGGCCAAGAAACCTTCCACTTCACTGAAGAGGAAGCCAGTTCAAGGGCGAGAGGCGACTCCTCATCCTAAATCTAGGAAGCGGGAGCCACCTGCCCTTGATTTCACAAAATTCCGTTATTTTGCAGGTACAGGCGTCCGGTTCCAGTCTCGGAATTGTAACTCTCCCGCAGGACATCAGAAAACCCCGAAACATTTGGAATCGCACAGCAATGGTTCGGCAACCTGCCGACTGGTTGTGTAAATAGCTTCAGGACGCTTGCTTACTTATTTGCCTCCAACTTCGCCATGAACATCCCTGCGAAGAAAACGACCCTTGATTTGGGAACAATTCAGCAGGGCGAGAAGGAGGGGCTTCGTTCTTACATCAGGCGGTTCAACCTGATGAGAATACAGATTCAAGGGTTACCGGATGAGGTAGCTTATACCGACTTTTTTAGAGGTCTCAAAGACGGGTCTACCTAATTGATTTGGTTCGAAAAAGGGTGGCGACTCTTCAAGAGGCCTTGATTGAAGCAGAAGCCTATATACAGGCGACTGATCTGTGTACGATAAAACAGTCGGACGGGAAAAGGTTCGACAAAAGAGAAGGACGACAGAAACAGTCGTCTAACAAAGATAAGAAAAGAAAAGAGGTCTGGGCGGCTGATTCCTCTAAACAGCCGGCCCAGAAAAAGAAAAAAGAATTCAAACCATACTCCCCAAAGTATGTGTTTAACAAGGATAACCAGTTTATCCTAAAAGAAATAAAGGGACGGATCTCAATTGAGAAGCCGGTCCCCATGAAGGGTTCTGCAAACAACCGGAACCAAGATAAAATCTGTGCTTATCATGATGACGTTGGTCATCACACCAATGACTGCATCAGTCTCATGCGGTACCTAGACCGCCTGGCTGAGCAAGGTGATCTTGACACTTATGTCAAAAAATCTACGGGGAAAACTTCCTCAAGAAAGCTGTCGGCCAAAAAGAATCAACAGGCCGACAGCTCCGATACAGATGATGCAGCCGTCTACACCATTGCAGGCGGCTTCTCAGGAGGCGGCCCCACTATTAGGGGCAACAAAGATAATATAAGGCGGTTAGATGTAAATTCCGTTCACCAAGAACGGCCGTCCAAATATACATTTCCTGAGATTGTCATCACTGAAGAGGATCTAGGAGGGGTAAGGGGGCCGCATGACGACCCTCTCGTTATTGAATGTAAAGTGGCCAACCAGAGAGTTGGCCAAATCCTCATAGATACCGGGAGCTCCTCAGATCTCATCAGCAGCAAATGTCTGTCGAAACTGAAAAATTAGACGGACTGCATACATCCGGCCTCCCACCCTTTAATAGGGTTTGGAGGAGGAGTCGTTCACCCACTGGGACGAGTAGATTTACCCATTCGCCTGGGCGAAAAAGGGGAAGGACGACACATGGTAGTCCGGTTCCTAGTAGTAGAGGAACTCTCGGCCTACAACATGATTCTGGGTCGACCAACCCTGAATAATTCCAAGGCTGTTATAATCCCGTCTCTTATGTTGCTCA